GAGTCAACAAAAACTAAATATTCATTACAGTCAGCACTACCCAAGTTTCTTTTAAGAGGGGCAATGAAGAAATCATCTTCCTTTCATTTGTACTTTGTCACCGTAGGAGGATGTCAAATTAGATAGATTTTACTTCACACTCTGCTAAGAAGAAGAAAAGAAACAAAACAAAACTGATTCATCCTTTTAATTGTTGTGAAGCATTTTGGAGGAATTTAAGTTACACTTCACATGCAATAACACTTTAATTTGACTGGGATGATGCATCATTTTATTTTTTGGAAACGGAGTTATCTAATCAGAGCAACATCTTTAAACTGTTTGCTCCAAAATGGAGTAGAAAAGTGGAATGGTTGATTTTTCTCTCAGCCTCTTGAGCCTCAGCCAGATCAACCAGCATAGAACAGAACTGCCATGCAGCAGTAAAAACTTATAAATTAACCAACACAAAATGATCAGATAACGTCTAATTTTAAATATTTATCTGAGTCAGTGCTAGTATCATTTGTTTCTGCCTATGCTTTTTGCTTTATGCTTTGTTGTATTATCAATCAAGTGCTCATGAGGAATTAAAGAGTTGCATTCTACAGTATGTCTTGCTGGGCTTGCTTGGAATGCATCCCAGAGGGGGTCGGAAAGATGTGTTTAAATTGAGCATGTGGTTTAAGGAAGAATGGGTTCTACTTCCCAATGCTCCTGACTCCAATGCCCCAGGTCCTTGGTGGCTCTGTCTTCAGTATTTCACTTTAGCTCTTAGGTTCATCCAGGCTTTACTGTGGTCTGCATGCACTGTGAATGCCACACAATGCTTGAACTTCTGTTACGACTCTCAACAGCCCAGTGCTTTACAGAGCAGGACAGAAGTCTGACCGCCAGCAAGACTTGTTTTCATCTGATCAGCAGCATTGCCTATCTTTAGTGGATGGCACAAAGCACATCTTAGTGTCATCTACACTATATCAAACCCACTCATCCTTCCATTTTCAAACCGCTTCTTCCAATTGAGGGTTGCAGGGAGTCAGAGCCTATCCCAGAAAGCATGGGGCAAAAGACACCCTGGACGGGACACCAACCCATCGTATATATCACATCCATTCCTCATAATTCTTCAGCCACTCATTGACAGTGTTTCATTTCATGTGATGTGAAAGTGGAACTGAATCCAGACTCCTTGCTTCCTTGCTGCTTAGTATGTTTTCATTTCTGTGATTTGAGCATGGGATGGACATCAGCGGATGGGGTCTTGTCACATTACTTTCCAATCCCAGAGAACTTGCTGTGCGGACCTGTGTTTTAAATAAGTCACCAAACTCATTTAACGTGAGCACTGAGTATTGCAATGCAATACTTCACAAAATAATTCCATGAAAACAAGTGGAACCAAAACATCTTGAATTTAATTTTAATTGTTATGATTAATTTCTTGTTTCATGCCTTTTGAAGTTAACGATATTTTTAATAATGCCACTTGTCTTCTCCTAATTACTCTCATGCTACCAGACCTGCTCCTTTCAAACTGCCAGTGCTCAATCAGCGCTTGACTGGGTGCGATCTTTGGAAAGGATCCGAACAGTTGGTGTTGGCAAAGAGCAAAGCAATCCAAATTCAGTCAGCTGGCATCAAAAATTAGTCATTTTAAAAAGTGGGCATAGCTTTTTCAAAGATGCCAAGGATAAAAATGACTGCTTAAAACCTGTAAGTGTTCCCAAATTACAGGGTTAGATGATTGCCACTCTCAGGATGTGTGCTGGTTTACATAATGATCTGTGGAGGTTGCACAGCTTTTCTGCATCTTATCCAACTGCAGTGATATTCCAAGGCTTTGGAATTGTTTGCTGGGGAATTTGATCAATCCTTTCCTATTTAATTATATTTGGAAAACAGAATAAAAGATAAAAAATAAACTGGAACAAAATCTAAAAAAGGAAGATTACAAGAAAGCAAAAAGGATGGACAAGAAGTTCTGAACTTCTGAAGAAGAAAGTTCCTGACTAAACTTTGATGATCTAAAAAACAGTTAGAGGACTACAGAAGGGACTAGATGGATCTAATGGCTTTCTCTCATTTGGATCTTTTCTTATATTCTTATGTTTTATGGTTTTTATGAGAAAGACTGGATGAGTTCCTGGGATCAATTAGGTTCATTTAGCAATCAAACAAGTTAGATGGGCTGAATCATTAGCTCTTGTTTAGAACCTTTCTTATGTTCTCAGGTATATATGTAATAACCTGGCTGATGTGGTGCATCAGCGCATGTGGCCACAGTTGTACATGCTGTCACGTTCACCACCATTCTCTTGCCATGGGCATAATGGAGCCAAGAGAATCATGCAAACAAGAGGCTAAGGAGATGCTTGTCAGTATTTCAAGTGTGCTATGAGATATACCGATCAATACATGTTGGTAAAAAAAAACATAATAAGTGATTCTTAAAGCAGCAGCCGGGGAAAAAGCAATTATAAATGAAAAGGGCTTGCTGTGACTAAGGCATTTCAAGTCAGTATCCATCACATGGCTTTGGGCTACCAGCCCAGATATGCATTCATGTCAGCTTGGGATGAAAGGAGGGGTGACTAGGATGTGTAGCCATCAGACTCCAAGGGCCTTGATGAGACAGACATTTCAGCCAAGATGTGTCCTGATGGCAACCTCTGATGACTCATCTAACATGGGAGGTGCAGAACAGGCCGGTGGGGGGAAGCATGTCACACCAGCAGAGATCTCTTCAGAAGGCAAGTGGGTGAGGTGGTTGATGGAGTAGGAGGAGCAGGGTAGAATAGAGCTGGGATCAGCTGAGCCCAGAGGAAGACTTTGCTGGCTATGGTGAATAACACTGGTCCACCTCTGTTCATCTTTGATTTTCTTTACTATTGTTCTGCTCATTTATCTGGGTTTTTTTCTGTAATGGTATGGTTTTTCTATAAGGATAAAGCTCCTTCAGCACATTCAGCAAGAAAGATGAAAAAATGGGTGGGAAAATGGGAAAAAAACAGCATCATTCAGTTTTAAAATTTGAAAAGTAGATGGCCTGTTACTTTGGAAACAATTTTCTTGCTGCCAGTGCACAGTCTTTATCACTGGAGGCAGGAAAATTAAAAAGATACATTCTAATGTAAAGTTGATTATGAAAAGTTAATGGGGTGTATTATTATTATTGATACAGAGGAATATTAGTTACATGTACAGTAAATACACTGTGTGTGAGAAACAGAAACAGACACCCACTAGGCATTTGAACTGCATGGGGGTCATGTTGCAAATTCCAGAGACAAATGATTTTGCTTGCAAAGACTCCTGTTCTGAGATATGGAACAGCTTTAAATGTATGTTCATTATTGTAGTGATTTTTGAGACAGCAGTGTTTATGTGTGAAGCCACTGGTAAGGTATTTGTCCTGGAGCTGAGATTTCCTATTGTTCTTGTTTTATTTTTTGCCCTTTTCGAGCTGTAGTTCCTGCTGAGTTAAAAGCTTCGCTGCTAGACCTTGTTTCGCATCATGTGCATGAGCCCGCTCCCTACGGACTGAGAGTGTGGTCAGCTTGTGGAGGGTTATTTTTCATGGGATGACAGTTCATTTAATCACATTTTATTATGAAGCAGCTCTGGAGTAACAGTAAATCAGTGTCCGCCAGGCTCTCAGTGTTTATGAAACCGTTTGATCAGGAGATTTTCAGTCTAACCCCTCCCCTCCCAATCTCAACATCGCACATTCACCTGGATTTTGTGGGAAGAGAGGAGGGCAGGAGCCTCTCTCAGCTGCAAATCATCTTATTTAAAGCACTGCGTCATAAGATCATCCGCACTAAGTGTTCATGTAAGTGTTCATGTAAATGCACCTCCATAACTAACACACTGAGCAGCGTGTCTAATTGAACAGTTTGCTATTCATATACAAATACCAGCAGTAGTAGGAACAGTAAACATACAGTGTAGCGATAATAATAACTGGGGAAATGTTAGAAATTAGTAGTTGCTGGAGTAATGGAAACAATAGTGATAGATGCAGTACAGAGCTATAATGTTTTAAAATGGTCAATGTGTGACTTGGATGAGTCCAATGTCCTCTTGATTGTTATTTAAAGATACCTGCATAAAAAATAGAACAGTCAGAAATGACAGAAAGCCATTTGGCCCATCTAGCTTGTATGGTAGCTAACTGGTGCAAGGAGCTTGTCTAGCTATTTTTTTTTAAAATAACCAGGGTATCAGCTGCACCATAATGTCTGGGTAGTTTATTCCAGTCTCCCACAACCCTCTGCATGAAGAAGTGCCCCCTGTCCCTGTTGGAGGGTCTCACCCAGCTGTATCTTCAAAGAAGCCAAGGTATCAGCTTCAACATCATGGCTGGATAGCTTTTCCTGGACTCCACACTGCAGAGCATCTCAGCTCATTAGGAAAATAAATGAGTAAACGAGCAAGTTGAATGTTTTAATTTAATCAGAGCTATTGGAGAGAAGCTCCTGTCTTCTGTGTCATAAAGTTTAGGTTGAGTTCTTCAAGGCAATCTGCTCCTGTCAGGCCGAGAGAGCTCCTTCCTCCCTTTGCTCATCAGCTCCGACACCCAGGCTAATTATTTTTCCGTTTGTAATTGGGTTCTGTCAAATTCATCTCACTTTTCTATTAAAATTAGGGGCAGACATTTTTGGTTAGTTGTTTATTGAGGTCTTATAGCAGCTAAAACTGCTTCAGGGCAAGATTTGTGTGATTTTCTCTCCGTTCAGTGCTATCGTGTTTTGCTTTTCCGTAACACTAAATGAAAGAAAAGAATCGGATGGGGGTGGCGACTTTTTCTAGAAGAGACAGCTGTTTGTGGTGCCTCTGTAAACATCACAGTGATGTTGTTGATGAGAGATGTTCAACTCTCATCGCAATCCCATGGGGCCCTTAGGCACACAGATATGTTTTCATCTGACTTTCCTCACTGTTTCTCTCGCCCTGTCTCGACTCTCTGTTTCTCTTTGCTCCTGGTTTTCACTCTCTTTTCCTCGCTCTCTCCTCAGGCTGACGGGATTCCAGCTCCCACCTCCGATTGTCAGCTCGGGCCCCCGCCTCACACTGTGGCTCCTGTCAGATTACGCTGTCAGTGGGCAGGGCTTCAGGGCCACGTACGAAGGTAAGCTGCCGATACCCAGCTGTGGCGCACAGTCCCCTCCCACAGGAGGAAGCGTCTCGGCATGTGTACTACGTTTTTCTGATTTAAACTTTAGCATCTCGGACAGTATGGTCATGTCACAGAATGAGTGTCAGTACTTACAGTATATTGTAATGACCCAAGAGGCAGTACCAGCTGTTCAGTCCTTTGGAGTGAACAACCAATGCACTTCAAATCACAGTGTATTTGGTCCTATGTGAATTAATGTACCTGAATGGTTTGAGGAATCATGTCAGAGCAATACAATTCCACAGATTCTGTAGGTGTTTTGTTTGATGTTTGGCTTCTGAAAAAAGAAAAACATCAGTTACAAGTTGACCTAAACTTTGATCAGTCATTGGTCACTGAAGATCCTTTCTTTTCATAGCATTGCACCTCTGTTCCAGGCTTGCTGTTTGGCCCTGAACTCTGCTTTTCTTTTTGTGCTGGGGGATTGGGCCTCTTTCCTACATTTTCCCCTTTCCTTGTGAAAGGAGCCCATCACCTTGTTCTTGGAGTGCTTATCTGTCTGCATGCGCATAGAGTGTCTGTGCAGCTGAGAGGTTCTTTGTATCATCACTAAATCTTTAAATTAACACCCTGCAGGCATTTTAATAATTTTCCAAAAGGAGGAATCGGTTAAGTGTTCTTCAGTCCTCCACCTTTCCCTTTAATTTGTCTTTTAATCATAAGCCCATTTCTTAAAGCCCTCAATGAAAGGAGCCCTAATGAGCTTGTTCATTTCTGATGTTTTTTTTTTCATTTTGCCCCTTGGTAAATTAAAACACATGACAAATTATTCAAACAGAGGATGAAAGGCCTGCCAGTCAGGGGGGTCTTCTAGCAGCCCAGTCCCATCTTTTTCATTCTCATGCCTCAGGTTTGTGACTCAAAATATTCCTGCGTCATTTTATTTCCGTGCTCAGTAAGCGTTTTACGCTGTGTGGGCCTTTACAAGCATATTCCCATCTCGAAAGCGGCTCAATTACTAGATTTAGAATGCTAACCACTATCTAAAAGTTGAGGCAGAAACATTTTATTCATTAAGCATTGCAAAACCATTGTTTCGAAACAATTAAATGTATACTCTGCTATTTAAATAAATGTAAGTTGAGTGTGCAATTCATTGAGTGAGGTGTTTTTGACCTTTCCTCTGCAATTTCCTGTGTCATGCCGTCATCACACAACACGACGTTTCGTAGGATTTTCAGTCGTAGCATTCATTTACATAATCGTAAGAAAATCACAGCAAGTTGCAGCACGCGCCTGTTACCATTGGTTGTGTAATGTGACACTCCCAGCGACCCAGTCATAGCGTTCTAAACAGCCCCCATGACTCTCTGCAACCCGCTATGATAAAATCAAACTGGTCCGGTCGTACGGGTGGGCTCTTGTGTCTGCAACAGGCAACAGCCAATGAGCGCTCAGCCGGAAGTACAATGCGGCCGCAAGGAAAGAAGGAAAGCGAGTGTTTCGGACTGTGCAGATGGAGGAGAGGCTCGTCGAACTCTGGAGCCAGCACAGATGTCTGCTCGATGTTTCATGTTTCTCGTTTGTTTCCTTCGTGCGGTGCTCCACCTCTTATTCCGGCTTGCTCGATGTTGGTTGGGTGCCAAAACGAGGCGACCTCGTGGTACTTTCCCGGCGCAACACGAGATTTGAAACCGTGATGAAACGTCGTGAGGGAATCGTGTAATTAGTCACCCCCTGCTTTTCCTAGTTGTATAATTTGACACCCCCTAGGACAGAAAAGGCAGCGAGATTCAGCAACTGCAGTCGTTAAATTTGACATGCTCTCTGATTAGACGTCGTGTGGAGTCCTGTAGTGTGATGCCAGCTTTAAAAGTTGTTCCCTATGGCCTATATCACACTCCACGATGTTAGCTTTTGATTCTATGGAATTTACACCGGAAAACCCGACCAATCAGAAATGCATTGAGGTTTTCAAGGCTGGTATTATAAGACAAATTAAGCTTTAGTCACATTAAGTGTTACATATGGATCCCTTTTCCCCTAGTGGTGTATTGACCTCAAAGTGTGTATCTGGTTTGTACAACACTCTCCAACTCAAAGAACATGTACAGTACTGTAAGTGGAAAACTAAGGGGAATTTTCACTTAGGATTTTTTTGCATAACTGGCCAGACTCGTAACACAACACTATGATTTCTATGTACTGGTGGAGCTCTTAGGTTTCTTCTCATGTTGTGCTTCAAATGAAACAGTATAATGGAGCCCCTGACCTAAATCTCATCCCTAATGTGTTGTTCTCTCTAATTTCCCGACTCACATAGTACTCAGAGGAGCCCAGAGTGTTGTCATTATGTGCTCTACACATCTCCCAACCCTCAGTGCTCTGCAGCCTCCCAGCAGTGGGCATTGAATCATGTTCTGCAATTACAGATGCCTAAAAATATACTTTGTTCATGTGTTCTCTCTTGGAAATGGTCTGGTTATGGGTAGTGAAGATAAATAAATGAGAGAAAAATTCTGTTGGGTCCAAATACTGTTTTTTGTACCAGAAAGAGCAGAATGTATTACCCTGAAAACTGAAAAAGTGTTCTCATTTTGTTACACATAAAAGAAGCTGGTGGAAAACATGAAAAAATATTCTTAGCACTTCACTCTGGCGACTAGATGGTGTTCAGTATTAACTTGTCTTGGTAGCTACAGGGTAACTTGTAATTGTTTGAGCAGGAAACTTACAATAAATTGAATGCCCCCTTTCCCAGGAAGTTCTGAGTACAGTAGGTCACTAAATTGATTTTGTGAGTTCAATAAGATAGCTTTGCTTAAAAATTAGAGTTTAATAATTGTTTAGTCTATCAGTCTATGGGACAATATAGCATAGTGGCATATGATCTAGCTATCTAGCAATTACTTATAATCCTGCTCTCTCTAGATGCATTTATCTGGCTAATCTGTTGTGTTCTTTTGAGATGCAGACTGTGTTTTTTGGTGCTGCTTTTTCAAAGATGAGCTTTGTCCTTACTGCTGAGACTTTTGACCATAAGCTCAGCTTTCATTGTTGGCTGTTTAATTGAAGCGCCCCAGTGCAGGGAAATCCAATTGTGTGTCACAGCACTACTTCATTTGAACTTAGGTTGCAACATTATTGATACCATGTAATTGGGGAAGGTGAGATATTGAGTCTTTTTTTTTTTGTTTGTTGTTGAGCTTAAGTGAAAATGAATCATAGGGTCTAACAACATAAGATGCTCAGAGCTGTCTACCAGTGGCATCCTTACTGAACTAGAACATTGCTCTTCCTTTGACTCAAAACTCCTGTCTCGTAATAGGTTCTGCACTGCTAGATGACAATAGAGATAGCACTGATAGAAGAGCTGCCTTTACAAACAGCTATTATAATGCTCATCACACTGAAAATGCTCTTCAGTTTTTTCTTTAACAAGTTTACAGGGTATGCTGAGAATAAATTGAACATGAAAACACATAAAGCACTCAGTACAGGGCCAGCATCATGGATGGCTGGCGCTGCTTGTAGCAGAGATTGTGGGCGTTCCTGGCTGAGTGCCCACAGCAGAGCACTGGGGCACATTGTTGTCCTAGTGAGAGATGAAATTGTGAAAGCTTGGCGGGTATTTGATCAGGCAAACCCATCATAGGCTCATGCTGGTCTCTGCTGATGGCACCTTCTACAGATGTCGTGGATTTTTAATTTGAAGCTTATTAGTGTGGGTGCACAAAAAGTGAAATAGAATTTGAGAGAGAGGGAGATGATGTTAATGCACATCATATACTTTGAAACACATATATGAATGATTCACTAACCTCAGAGTGAAGGAAAAAAGGCACTGCTTGTATATCTGTATGACTGTGGAAAGTGCCTTGGGCATCAGCTTTGATATGTCTCAGGGTTATCAGGAACTATCCATTGATCCATTCGTTCTTGACCCTTGGTAACGGAGATGGAAATCTCAGTACCACACTCACACTCAGTACCTCTTGAATGCGTGTACTGTACTGTACCTGTGTGTCTCATGTTTTACTGAAATTGGACCTACTGCAGATGAAGACAATGTACTGGACTGACAAATGTCTTTCCTGGTATCAAACCTTTAAAGTTCCTCAATTACAAAAAAAAAAGTTTGAACAGTTTTTTTTTTCAGAGCAACATGAAGGAAAACAGATAATGTGTGCAGTATGTGTACTGTAAATATAATGTTCATTTCATATTTTATTATTTTCTAATTAAATTCAGTCAGTTAATATGGTGTTTCCTTAATGTCATTATTTTAATTATGCTGTTTTGTCTGCAAGCTTTTAAATACTATGTGTACACATGTAGCTGACTCATTTTAAAGTCTCATAATATGGCTATTCAGCACAACGGTTTCCAATGTACTAATCAATGAATGATCACCACACACATAAATTAGGGATTGTAAATTAATCTGGAATTATTCTTTAATCCAAAATAGCAAAGAGTGTAATTATTAACCATTGCCTAAGTCATGTGCAGCAATATAAATTCATTAACTCATCAGCCTTATTAAAAACTCCTGTGTTCATTAGATGTTCAGTTTAGAAGAAAATGAAGACACATATTTTCTGGTGCAATCCGTTTTGAGCTGCAATTAGACAAAGTACAGAATTTGAATATTTAGTTTGAATATTTAAAGTATTCTGTTCAATTTTGGTCACTGCATTGGAATCAGGCCAGAGAAGAGGAACCAGTTACACTGGATTCCTGATATGGCAGCTGTTTGACGAAATACCTGAGCGTTTCTGTCCATAACAGGGTAGAAACGTACACAAGCACTCAGCTTGAAGGCACCAAATAACCCAAGAAGCGTGTCTTTGGAAGGCAGGAAGAAACCCGAACATCTGGAGAAAACCTATGGAAACATTACTCAGTCCATGACCAAATCCCAGACCCCAGAGCTGCGAGGCAGCAATGCTTTATATTTTCCATCTATTACAGGGTTCCTTCTCTGGACCTGTCTGTGGTCTTCTGCTGTA